CTCCAGAGTGTAAGGAGCCAATGTAAATATGATATCTTGTTGTACAAGAAATCTCTCAGAAGATGACTAGGGCACTGATAGCTTGGGTCACTTGAGGGAGCCATATTTAAGTCAAGGCTACCCACTGTGTACTCAGCACATATAGTCATGAAACAGACTCCATTTCTACAGGTCAATTGTTGATCTTATCTCAATAGAATGCAGGGAAATCAAAACAAAATAAACACTTGCTTAGAGATGCATAAGAAAGAATCCCACCACAGTTAGGCATCATGGCTATAGCCTTCTTGACTGTGGATAGCTATAGTTATTTTCTGGAGACTCACACATTAGGCTCATTAATGTTCCATCACGGAGGGGCCACTGAGTTATGGTGCCCTTATCTTCCCTGAGAGGGGCAGAGACATTTTCTTCACTTGTAAATTGCTTGTGTTTCTTGTTATTTCCAGCTATTATGATGAAGGTCCAAAATTGTTCCTTCTATTTTAACTTGAATTTCCAAAATTATGTTGTGGAATAATCAGAGTTCTGAACTTCAGAGATTCACAGGGGAGGCTGGAGGTGGTTCGAAGCTGAACATTAAGCACCCAGCGTTCTGTGCGGCTCTGTGCGGCCAGCAGAGGGTGGCACACCGATTTTATTTTATTTTTTTAATGACCTAGTGTTCCGCGCAGAGATACTTGGGCTCTTTCTAGGGTAAGTACACCGAAGCATCTTTCTCAGGTCCTGTTCTGCTTTTGAACTCCCTGGAGCTCCCACGAGAGAACGGAGAGGGAATTCCACATCGCTCTTATGAGGTAGTGGACTGTCCTGAATAATCAAATCCTCTAGTTTTTATATCGCAAATGTAGCCCTGGGGGTGGGGGTGGGGGATGTCCTTCTTTCCTTGCCATACTCCCCCAGAGGCTCATGGGAAATGTAGTCCACCATGCACAGGGCCCTCCCCAGCTGGATCAGGTAAACAGCTCCCGCAGTTTCCTTCCCTGAGCTTCTGTCCAGCACTGTCTCTAACCACCGGCCAGAAACTCACCACCTAGTGCTTTGCTATCGCTGCAACGCGGGCCGCGAGATTGATGCAGTGTTCCTGGAGGCTGGTGCAAGGACGAAAGAGGATCCTCGGAAGCGGGACCGTATCCCCCTTGCTTGGGGGGGTCGCAGAAACAGGTGGGTCTTGGGGGTGGGACCCAAGACTCAGAGCGAGGGCGGACCTGAGCTTGTCTGGGAGGCGCCAGTAGTGAGATCTACCATTCCCGGTTTGAACAGGCGACCTGGATTGTGCTTTCATGGTTGCTGTGCCAGAAGACAGTGCGCTAGGAGGTGTCAGGCTCTGTGATGCCAAGTGTCCAAAGGATAGTCCAGAAGCTCGGCCTGGTAGATGAAACCCCAAGATGGCGACCTGGAGGTGGGGGCGGGGCGCGTCTGCAGACAGCTGGGCCCGGAGGCCTGCAGTGTGAGTTCACAGTCCAGCTCTGCCAGCGAAGGATTCTGTTACCTGCATGGCATCAGTTCTGTGGCGGGAAGACCACCCTTGTATTAGACAATGAAGCAGGTCCCCATCAGGGTATTATCACTAGCGTGGTTCAGAAATGCCAAACTGCGAGCCTGGGAATGTTGTAATTTGACACCACAAAACTGGAGCTTGACTGTGTCCAGTGGTCTACAAGAAAGAGAGTGTTTATTAACAATGCTAGTGAATTGCCCCCCAAATTTCTAGAGAAATTGTTATGTAGTGACTGTCAAGCATCTTGTTTCATCAGGAAGTGACGTTTTGCCCCCCCTCCCACTGTGTAGCCTGCTTAGCATACCAGGAATTGTTTTTAAATATCTTGTTACCAGGGACAAAAAGTTCTCCTAGGGAGTATTGGAATAGAGTCCCATTTTCTTGGGAACTAAGTTTACAAGGTTTACAAGGTTTGAAAGAAGGCATTCTATGAATAGGAATCCCATCATTCTAGTGTGGAGGGAAGACCATTAATAATAGACTAGGCAGTGGTGAGTCCCCATTAGGGAATGGTCTAAGCATGGTCCAAGCCTGGGGATGCTGCAACTTGGCACTACAGAGCTGCAACCCAGTCCTGGGGTCCAAGCCTTGGACTAAGACTGTACTTTGATTAACCAGGTCTGACCATGTTTGCATGGCAGAGATTGCATAACTGAAAATTACCTGCATAGCAGCTCATGTTAGCGTCCCAGAACTGTGTACTGCTCAATCTGTACTACCCTCCTTCACTACTACCTTAGTGTTGGTGGCCTGCATGGGGAAGGCTTGCTGGGCTATAAACAAATCACACCTTAGACCAGAATAGGAAGTATAGGTTATTGAGTACACTGCAAGAGAACAGCAGGCTGAGCAGTAGTAACTACAGTACCACTTGTAGCATAGGGTAATGAGCTTGGGTGGATAGGCGGGGGGGGGTCCTCCTTCTTGGAAAAGTACTTGTTCAGTTAGGCGATGTTTCTTTGTGTGAAGTTTCCTGGCATGTAATACCTGCCAGTGTAAAGTTCTGGGAGTTTAGCAGGAGACACTGTGGATGTACTTTCCATCCACAGGAGCCACCGTGGATGTATTTGTACAATGGCCATGCAAATGAGGGAAGTCCTGTGAAAGTTCCCTAATGGAGACCTGTTTCAATGCAGTCAAGATTTTTTAATGTCCCCCCTACCCCCATGCCATAGCTGGTGCATTTGAGCAGAGGCAGAGTGAACATGAAGCTCCCAGCTTTGTAGGGCCTAAGGAATTCCTGATCTTGTTCAGCTCAGAGAGAACAAGTTTTGGGCAAAGCTACTACCTTCTGTGGAAGCTGTCAGCATGTAGGTGGTACTCAGGGTTTGGATCCCCTTCAGGGTGAGGCTGTGAGCTAAGCTGAGAAAGATAGGCAAGGGCCTGGGAAATCTTTATTATTGGAAGGGTCTGGAAGTTGTGTTCCACTGTGGAGGGATGCCAGATCACACCTGGCAGGGTCAGTGGTCTATAAATTCCTCTTTCCTTCCCCCTTCCTTCACTGTTTCCAGTGTGTGAGCTCTTTGAAGCCTACAGTGTCAACAGACTTTTCATTTAGAAAGATACCAATGGCCCCTCTGTCTTGATAATGTAGCTAGGGCATGCTCAAGTATTTCAGCTTCATAAGAAAGATGAAAAAAATTGCACTAGGAGATAAGTGGCTTTCCCTGGGAAACATGTAGGTGCCAGGAACATACTGACTTTTTGGTTAATGTTATCTAATGTACTTAATTGTACTTTGTACAATTAATAAACCAGTGTTTATGTATTTTTAAGGTCTTCTTTTTGTAATACTGACATCAGGTTACCATGTACATGTCTCCTGATTTTTCCCAATGTGTTTCTATTTTGGCATTGAAACCCAGGGCCTCAGAATGATAGGAAAGTGCTCTGCCACAGAGCAAGGTCCCCAGTCTTCAGTGTTTCAAAATATCTTATCTTAAGCACTCCTAACCCATGTTATCCTCAATGCATTCTGTGCATTGTATAACCTTAAAAGGTTAATAGTAGAAGTGTTTCTTACTTAATGCTAGCAGTCTGTTACCAAAATTCATGTTATGAGTAAAAATAATAGGAGTCAATCTCAATTTTGTAAAATCAACAAATTAGATTGCATCAAATTTGTGCTCTAAGCAAATAATGAAAATAGCACATAATGCACACTCACATGAAAGCAACACCCATACTATACAAAACTGGGAAGCACATGCCTCATGTGTAGACATTGCTTGCTGGAATCACGTGGCTTTAGCCATTCTTATGTCCATCCAAGTGAGGTGTTTTTTTTTTTTTTTTGTCTTTTTGAGACAGGGTCTCCCTGTAGCCCCAGCTGGCCTGTAACTTGCTATGTAGACCAGGCTGGCCTCGAACTCACAGAGATCCACTTGCCTCTACCTCCTGAGTGCTGGGATTAAAGGTGTGCTCCACAATACCCGGCTCCCAAGTGAGGCTTAGTATACTTTCCAAATGGACATGTGGGTACAGAATACTCTATTGATTTGTCATGTTTGGATACTATTTCCCACTCTCTAATATTTTGAAATCATTGAATTCTAAGTCATTAAATGTATCAGCTTTCTTGTGTAACAAATCAATGAAAATGTATTGTTTTAAATTAAATTTTCACTTTCTTCTCAGTCAGTATTTTAGACTGTTCTCAACTGGGAAATACCCATATTTTCCTGCCTTCAATGACATGAGGTTTGAGTCACCTGGTACCTTGAGGGTGGTTGATACTTCAGTGTTCACTCCCACATCTGGTGGTTCCTGCTGTCCCTTTTCAAGGCTCTGTGTCTCCAACTGAGTGGCACCAGGATTCTTCACAATATAACTGAGTCTGGTAGGTAAGACTAGTCAGCAGCCACATCATTTCAAACTAAGGTTTGCATCATATTTGATGAGGCCTTTTTCATGAATGAGTGAAGTGGCAAAACCCCTATTATCCATGTGATATCTGAGACTAGGGTGTGGATACATGGAGATGCCCCATTTGGAAGCATTATTGTAACACCACTGTGCAAGAAATGTGCAATGTATACATTTTTTTTCCTGTATAAGCGTGGGCAAAAAATGTTGCAGTGCATGAAAATGGTTTGTATATAATCAAGAGGTAATATGGCAAAAGTGCTCATATGGGGCTGCTTGGGTCAATTAATAGAATAGTTCATATATCTCAGGGCCATTTCTATGTTAATTTTAGGGAAAACATAATGACTCTTTGGGTTAAACTATTAAGTTCTTTCTTTATGGAACATTAATTGTTACTAAATTGTTCATTAATTGCTGATGTATGTGTTCATTAACTCAGTCACAGCTTCTAGGTCTAATCTCTATATATGTACTTGTGGGTCCACTGTCAATAGTGTCTTTGTTTCACTTTCTTATAGAAGGACCTATTCTCTTACAGATTTTTTTTTTTTTTTTTAGCTAATTGCATAGTGTTTTGAATGGAGAATCTAGGACCAAGCCATGCACATCCTCTTGTGACTGTATAATAGTCTCCTCCAAACTATCTCTCCGGTGTCATCAGTGTGTTCCCAAGGACAAAAAGCCCTCAAAACAAGCAGCTGACAAACAAAATGAAGGAATGTACAGTGAGTTGTTTTATTCCCACTTTGTTACTTATTGTTTTATGTGTCCTCATAGTCTGAACTATGTCAGTAGAGCAGCTCAAATGTACAGAGAGAATTAGACTTCAGCTCCCATTAGCACTAATGGGTAGCAAACATAGCAACATTTAATGAGTTACAGTTTTTCTTATTGCAACAAAGTATATTTCTTCAAAACTTGAACTATCCTTGGCCATTGTCATTTCTACCATGGTGTTTTTCTAATTATGGAACTGGATGAAACCATGATTGAGTCAGGACCTAGTGCCTGTTAACTCCTGGCCCACACATACCTAGCACATAGTGAGGAGCCCACATGCACGTGGTGGTGGGATATGGGAGCAGCCTGCGTGTGCTGATCTGAGCATTTATTCCCATTAAGCACATATGCCAATTCTTTGCTGACAGCACCGTCCAGGTCTGTGCTTCAGGTGGCTTCATTCTGTGCTCTCGCTCTTGGAATCTTCTCAGTTGATGTTCTCTGTACTGAGCAAAAGTCTGAGTTTGCAGTTGACCAACTTTCTTCACTTATGTCACTTGAATATCCAGAGGTCTCTTTTATATTGAAATTGTGTGTTGTGTGTGTTGGGGATTGAATTGAGGGTCTCGTGAGTATTAAAGCAGTCCTCCACTACTGAACTACACCCTGAACTGTCACCTTGTCACCTGCCTTGACCATTTTTGTTTTGACTATGGCATTTCTTTTTTTTTTTTGGTCTTTTTGAGACAGGGTCTCCCTGTAGCATCAGCTGTCCTGGAACTCACTATGTAGTCCAGGCTGGTCTTGAACTCACAGAGATCCACCTGTCTCTGCCTCCTGAGTGCTGGGATTAAAGGCCACCACACCAGGCAACTATGGCTTTTTAATACAGGAAATGACTCTTGAGTTATTTCTTTTAAAAGTATGTGTGTTGAAGAGATGGCTTAGCGGTTAAGGGTAGTGGCTACTCTTGCAGAGGACCCAGGTTTGATTCCCATCATCCACATGGTAGCAAGCTAACAACCATCTGTAACTCCAATTCCAGGAGATCCAACTCCTTCTTCTTACTTCTGCAGACATTGCATGCATGAGTGCACTTACACACATGTAAGTAATACATTCATATACATAAAATAAAAATAATAAAGTATGTGCTTTGAACGCACCAAAATTATTATACAGAAACCATTTACACACACTTTAAAAAACTTTATTTTAATTTTATGTTTATGAGTGTTTTGCCTGCATGTATGTAAGTGCACCCATGTCATACAATGCCAGCAGAGGTCAGAAGAGGGTGTCGGGCCCCATGGAACTAGAGTTATGGATAATTATTAACTGCCATGTGGGTACTGGCAACTGAACTTGGATCCTTTGCAAGAGCAACCAGTGTTCTTAACCACTGAACCATCTCTGCAGCTCCTAGTTATGATATCCTTTTAACTTTAAGTCATGGTACCCTTTAAGCCCCACCTCACTTGAAATGATAGGTTATAACTTTTTATTAGGATAAAACCCCATTTCTAGATAACATATTATATTTAGCTAGTTTCTTGAATTAGTTGCTTTTGTGTTGCTGTAAGATAACCTGAAAAACAAGTTAAGGGAACGGCTTTGCTGTTGTTGTTCATGGAACCTGAAGACTGAACCCATGATCTCCTGGTCCCATGCCTAGAGCATGGTGAGCATCATGCTGGTGAGTTAGTGTGGCTGCGAGGCTTATTCTTCTGACTATGGAAGCAGTGAGAGAGAAAGCTACAGGAAGTGCCAGAGATGATAATGTGCAAGGACATGGGCCTGGTGACCTATTTCCTCCAGCTGGATCCAACCTGCTGAAATTTTCACCACTTCTCAAAACAGTACCATTAGCTTAGAACCAAGGATTAAAAAGATGTTTGGGGGCTAGAGAGATAGCTCAGTGGTTAAGAACACTGGTTGTTCTTGCAGAAGACCCGGTTTGAATCCCAGCACCTACATGGCAGCTAACAACTGTCCGTAACTCCAGTTCCAGGGGATTCAACAGCCTCTTCTGTTCTCCATGGGCATTGCACGACATGGGAGCACTTACCTACACACAAGCAATACACGCACACACATAAAATAAAACTAATAAAATATTAAAAAATATTTTATTATTTTATGTGGGTGAGTGCATTGCCTGCATGTGTGTAAGTGCACCTGTGTTATGCAATGACCTCAGAGGTCTTATTTATTGGATTCCCTGGAACTGGAGTTAGGGACAATTGTTAGCTGCCATGTAGGTACTGGGAACCAAACTCTGGTCCTCTGCAAGAACAGCCAGTGCTCTTAACTACTGAACTATCTCTCCAGCTCCAGGACCAAGAATTTAATGCATGAATCTGTGGAGGACATTTCATATTTAAACAATAACTCTACTTTAAAAACCTCAAAATGTGACAACTTATTGGGGGTCAAGAGCACTCACCATTGCCTGCACCATTGGGGTGCATCAGGAAGCTCCTTAGGGGCTCTTGTTTCTGATCTTTCCATGTGCTTCTTAAGATGGGTTGTCTAGGGTAACTGGGGTTCCTACATGGTGCCTGTCTTCCATCCTTCAGTGTTCCAGGTGACTCTAATGAAGCTGTGGGACTTCTTGCAGTCTTGCTTATGAGTTCCCAAATGGCATCTTTGCCCTGTTCTATTGACCAAACTAGTCACTAAGTCTGGGCAGGGCACAAGGGAATTTAGTTACCACCACAGATTCTTCTTCTCTTCAGTGCTTCTGGGTCTGTCACTATTTCTTACAGTTTTAAAAAAAGATTTACTATTCTAAGGCCGGGTGTGGTGGCGCACACCTTTAATCCCAGCACTCGGGAGGCAGAGCAGCCTGGTCTACATAGTGAGTTCCAGGACAGCTGGGGCTGTAGGGAGACCCTGTCTCAAAAAGACCAAAAAAAAAAAAAAAGATTTACTATTCTAAATGGTGTGTGTGGGTATGTGCATGTGAGCGCAAGTGCCCATGTAGGCCAGGTGTAGGGTACCCCTGGAGCTGGAGTTACAGGTGGTTGTGAGCCACCTAATGTGGGTGCTGGGAACCAAGCTTGTGTCCTGGGGTCTTCTACAGGAGCAGTTGTAGCACTGCTGAGCCATCTCTCCCGCCCTCCTTACAG